TTTCATTTTACGGATTATTAGTGATGCTGAGCATCTCTTCATATATTTATTGGAGATTCACATTTCTTTTTTATTTTTCTGAACTCTACAAGTTTTATATGTTTATACATATGTTTGTACATATACATGTACATATATATGCTCTGGATACAAGTTCCTGTTTATACACACACACACACACACACACACACACATACACACACACACACACACACACATATGGCAATTATCACATTTTTTGGTTTTCGTTTTCAAATGTAGTCTTTCAGACAGGAGAATACTTTAATTTTGATATTAATATGTCTATTTGTGCTTTTTTGCATCCTAAGAAAGCATTGCCTTCTGTTAATGAAGATTTCAGTTTCTGGTTTTACTTAAAGTTTTATAGTTGTAGCTTTCATCTTTAAGCTTATGATTCTATATTAAAATTATGTTCACTGGGGGTTGAAATTCATGTTTTGTCATGCAGAGGTTCAGATATTTGAATATCATTTGAGGAATAGACTATCTTCATAGTTTTGAATTATATTGCTGGCTTTATTGAAAATCAGTTGAACACATGTGCATTAGTCTACTTCCAGATTGCTTATTCTGTTTCATTGATACATATGATTAATTTTCAAAACTCTAATTTCTTGATTAACAAAACTTTATGGTAAGTTTTGAAATCAGATGGTGAAAGTCCACCGAATTTGTTCTTCAATACTGCTTTGGTTCCTCCAGTTCATTTGAATTTCCAATTAAAAGTACTGGAATAAGCTTTTCAATTTCTACCAAAAAGGCCTGCAGACCATTGGGCATGGTAGCACATGCCWGCAATTCTCCTACTCCAAAGGCTGAAGCAGAAAGATCACAAGTYCAAGGTTAGCATGAATAACAGTGATACCCTGTTTGAAAATAAAATGAAAAAGGCTAGGGATATAGTYAARTAGTAGAGCATATGCCTGGCAGAAACATAGCTCTGGGTTTAATCCCCAGTACTGCAAATAATAAAGGCCTGAAGAAAGTTTCATTGGTATRTTTCAGTCAGATTTTCATCACTGTGACCAAAGACCTGACATGAACAACTAGAGGAGGAAAAATTTATTTTGGCTCACAGTTCCAGAGATATCAGTCCATATGAAGGACCTTAAGGCCCCAGGCCCAACATTAAGGAATCTAACCCCTATGTCCTGTGCAAAATGTTCCCTGACCCCACCCCCATGTCAAAACCCCCTAAGCCTTGCATAAAGATAGAGAAGTCTAAGCTTTGCAAAGTAAGAACAGGGAAGTTCAAGTCTTGCACCCCGATACCACAAGATGTCCCAAGTAGATAACTCAGAGAGAAAGAAGAAGAAAATTTAAGTAAACAGGGGAAGCAAACCTGAGCAAACAGGGCAAAAACAGGAACAGAGAGGACCAGATGCCATCATACGGTTTTTCCGAGAAGTAAAGGTGGAAAAACAAGTTTACCCCCCAGGTGACCTAACGGCTGGATTCARAGGAACCAATAGAATGACTGTTCCTGTGCTAAGCTGGAAACTAACCCCCTGCACCCTATAAAAGATCTGTACCCCAAAGCCCGGTGTGCCAGTGTCACCGAAGCTCCGGTTGAGGTATTGCTGTGCACCCGCAGACGCCTGTGTGAGAATAAACGTCTCCTGCTTTTTGCAGCCAGTGTCTCSTGTGATTCATTCCGGGTTTGGGATCTGTGGATCTTTCACATAGAAATCCAACTTCACAGCTCTGGTCCCAAGGTGAGGCAGAATGTTATAGCAGAAAGGAAGGTAGGGGAAGCAGTCAGGGCATGGCAACCAGGAAGCAGAGAGGGACCCTAGGGGAGATGCGCCCTTCCAGGTAACGCTCCCAGTGACCCTCCTCCTCTAGCCACACTCMACCTGCCTACAGTTACCACTCAGTCAGTCCACTCAAACTAGGATGGACTCATTAGGTTACAATTCTCAAAATCTAATCATTTTACCTCTGAATATTTCTGCATTAAGTGGAGCTTTTAGGGGATATCTCATATTTATAACAGGATAACAGTGAATCTATAAATTTGAATTTACAAATTAATTTGAAGAAAATGAGCATCTTAATAATATTAAGTCTTCTGAAAATCTTTAGATTTTTAATTTCTCTCAGCATAACTCTATAGTCTCCATTTTAAAGGAATGCATGTAATCTGCTATTGTTAAATATTTTATAACTTCAGAAATTAGGGTAGTTTTGTTTTTTCAACTGCCCATTTTTTGGTATATAGAAATACAACTGAATTTTGCAAACTGAATTTATATCCTGTGACCTTAAAAATGCAGTTATAAGTTGGAGCATTTTCTTGCTATATTTTTAGAATTTCTTTGTACTGAGTCATAACAACTGTGGAGAGAATTTTTCTTCCTTATTCCCAGTATTTATACCTCTTCTTTCTGTGATATTTCATACAAAACAGTGAATAGACATGGGAATGGTGGACCTTCTAACCTTACTTACTTTCTGTCTTAAGCAGAAAGCATTCAATTTTTACCATTAAGTGTGACATTAGCTGTAGAATACTTTTTTTAAAAAAAAGATATCCTTTCAGGGGTAGTATTTTATTGGTAGATCTTATTGGTAGCATTTCATTGACGGTTTTTTTTTCTCTTCCTTTTAGTACATTAGAAATATTGTTTTATTGTCTTTGGACTATTTTTCTATTTTTTT